AATGCAAACATTTCCATATACGTACTTTGAAATTTAATACAAAGCCAAAGCTGTTTCAAATTACTTACGCTGCTAGGATTACAATTTGTATTTTGATTTGTCCGTTGTTATGGTAGTGATGACGAATTAAGTTCCCAATTTCTTGGTTCTGTTCATTTTAATATGCAATATAGTAATTTAATTTCGGTTTAATATTGTTAGAATATTTAAATCTTTTCAACTATTCTAATGTATTATTTCCCCGAAAGAGAGTACTTACTTGTGAGGATTATGAAATAATTTCTTGCTGTATATGTCTTTGAAACTCCTTTTATGTATACACTTTATTTATTTAAATTTTGTTGTGCTGATATTGAGAGCCTCGTTCCCTGACTATAAATGATGTACTTAAATAACATATGAGACTATATGACGTAAATTTGTAAAAGATGTATGTAAATTTATGAATAAGTAACAGACCATAATTATAAATGAAAAGTATTGATAATATTATAGGTTTGAGTGACATAGGTAAAGAAAATTGTCGGTGATTAGCATATCCACATACAATCAGCCTGATCAGCTGAGAGTTTGGAAAACTAATAACTGATTAATTTTTTAAGGTTGACGGTTAAAGACGTAATGAGTTTTAATAAGCGAAATGAGAATTTATTATGAATTGTATAGAAATAATGTCCATAATAATAAGAAATAATATATGAAAATAAAACAAAAGTTGGCCTTAATAAATAAGTAATGGAGAGATATGGGAACGTCCATCACTGGTAAAGCATATAGTCCTCAAGCAGGATATGCTTCCGTGATAGGATGATAAAATAAGGAGTTACGGGTACTAGGGAATAATACCTTCAGTACAAGTGATTTACTCATATTAGTACTGTTGGGGACCAGAGAAGTCTTAAATTTGTCACCCTTAATAATGGTACATTGAGGTCACATCCTCAATCCAACGAAGGATCATGGTGCGAACATAGTTTTCCTCTGTGACAATTGTTGGAGTCCTTTAAAAGTGACTTAAAAAACGTAGACCTCAAGGTTGTGCGCACGACCCAAGGTACACTATTACCTTGATACAATATGAAAAAAAATTTATGTACCATTTAAATAAAATGATTATAATACCCAAGTAAATGGGGGGCCCATATATATGTGTATAAAGTACCCGCATGATAAATATCATGAAATTAATTATAATTGAAGTGAATTGAAACTCCGGTTCCCGATATTTAATAAATAAATACATATATGCGTGAATAGAGAGGAATAAAGCTAGCTAAATGTCAAAATATTAATAAAAAAAAGAGAAAGTACGTACAAGATTTATGAAAAGAAATGATAATAAAAAAGGCCTAACAATCTACAAAAATACAATGTAATAAGGGGATCCCCGACCAAATCCATAGGGTTGGATAGATAGTCATGCAATAAAACTTATTATTTCTTAGTCGACACGGCCGCATCTTTATCCGCCGTAACATATAAACATGCTATCGAATGAAGTGTTTCATTACATAAAGAGAATGTAATTATAAACGGTCTAGGTGGCGAGGTGCAAACAATCGGATATGTTTATATTCCATTAATGATTCATGGATCTGTTATTAATCACAAGTTCTTTGTTTTTAATTCGTTACCAATTTCGTCGCATAGAATTCTAGGTAGAGACTTTTTGAATAGATTTGGAGCATGTTTAGATTTCAAGAAAAATATTTTATCTTTGAAGTTAGGGTCAGGCCACACAATAGTTATAATATTAACGTATTGGAAATTCCCCCAAGAAGTGAATCCATAAATTATATTCAAACTGATTTTCAAACCGATTGCATTATTTGTTCACAAGAATTACAAGATGGCGTTTATTTGGCTAGCTCGATAGCGACACCAATTAGGGGAAAAATACCAATAAAAATATTAAATGTTACCGAAAAATCAGTAACATTGTCAGGAATAAATCCTGCAATTCATGATCTTAACGATTATAATATTTGTTTGTTACATGTTTGTAATCACTAATACTGTAAGTAGATAGGTCGTTAGATACTTATTTCATTAGGTTTATCACATTTATGCCTGTTTCTTAACGCCAACCCAGTCGCTTCTTATTTTTATCACGGTTATTTCTCATTTTAATTTTACGTCGTCCTGTTGCATAATGTGTATTCTGATCGTAAGCGACACTACTTCTCCCTTCAAAAGCCTAAGCGATACTAACGGGGCGACAGGAACAGGGTTGCCGTTCTACAAATTTTAAAGTTCCCAGACTAACAGAAAAATTCGCCAGAAACAGGATTCTTCTTTTTCTTAAAATCCGCTAGATGTCCCTAGGTACATTGTCGTGGTACCATTGGGCTAACTGAAAAATCATGCCAAATGGTATATAATGAATACCGAAAATCTAAATCTATAAATTCTGAAAACCTTAAAAAGAGCGGACTCCATTTCATATAAATCAATTATATATAGTGTAGGTTAATGACATGACAACCAAAACAAAAATTATTCATGTACAAAATAAAAAAATATTGTAAAAAAAATAAATATCTTTAAACCACGTTTAAAAATTACAGTTATCTTATTAAAAATAAAACAATTAGCTCAGTACGTTCTTGTACCTAAATTTCAAAATTAAAGCGAAGTATGGATCCAGATCTTCAAAAAGAACTTCAGCGGAAGTTGAAGCTTCGCCAATGTCTCCAGTTCCCATCTTTGGTTTGCCTTTACCGACTTGGTTGACAACATCTTCGGGAATATCATACGTTGCGCAATTCTTTTTTTAATCCTTAACTGATTTCTAATCAGAAGAATGGAATTAAAAGTTTTTTCTGATAGCTTGTTTCACAGTTTGCTTTTAACTACATTCATAGCACCAAATACGCGTTCAAATTCAAATTTGAGTGCGGTAGTGATAATATTACTATTGCAAAATTACATAAATCTTCGAATATGTTTACTCTTGCTGCATTTCTGTATGTCGAAACCTTAGAACATGGTCTCAGGTCGAAATAGATGAAAGTGAATTAACGACGTTGAATTATTAGTTTATTTTCGGGAATTCCCGTGAAATTATATTATATATACAGTGTTACCAACGGTAGATTACAAAATTGGACATATGATAAATGACTTATTTGAAATGAATTACTTTATAAAAAAAAGTCGCCATCTCAGAAGTCTAAATATCGCTAGAAGTCGCTAAATAATTATTTATCGCTAAAACGTTTTTTATCCGCTAAATATTGTTAGAATCCGTTAGATATAGCGAGAACGTTGCTAAAACGGCAACACTGGACGGGAATCAAGCTTCAAGACGCCAATAGTTTAGGTAATTTCTTTTTACAGTGAAAGTAATGGTATTTAAAAAAAGTAAATAACATAAGCACTGCTTTATAGTTAGTATGCAGTTTCATGGTCTTATTAAAAGTATTTTATGAATAACAGAGGTTTATTGTTCAGTTTGGAGGTAACTTTGGATTTTTTTCTATCGAGAAAATTTTACGGAAACGTGTTTTCGTCTAACATAGTCCTTAACATTAATCCTCAACTTTACCATATATTTCTTTCATAATTAATGCTGCAATACTTTCGGCATAACGAAGGATCTTGCTAAGCCATTTGTGGTTATATTTCCCCTTAATATATAAAAAATAGTTATCTAATATATAAAGTAAACTAAATTTAGCCTTGACATACACATCAAACACTATCCATTGAAAATGGAACATTTTAAATCACACAAAATTCACGGCTCATTTAGTTATAATATTTCTTTGGTGACAATCTCTACTCTGTGCAATAGATTGAACACAGACTTATACTCATGTGACCTTGGCTTTATAGGAATAACATACATAGTACATACATAGTACTATACTCTGAGACATTTAACTAGGAGATGTATGTTTTATTTTGTTTATTTTAATGTATTTATTAGCACATATTTTAAAAACATTTTAGCTTTCTGTATTTCTTCTCGACATAAACTTTAATTGTGCCAAATTGCACACTCCATGCGCGCAAAATGCTTATGAAGTGACAAAGTTTTCCCTTCAAATATTAACATAGTATACTCGAAAAAAGTAAAGTAAAGTTACAGCCTATATACGTCCCACTACTGGGCACAGGCCTCCGCTCATTTCTGAAAGGGTTTTAGGGCAAGGAAATGTCCGCCGCACTGCCCCAATGGGTGTTGGCGAACTTCACATGTCTTCGAAATAGTTTTTTTTCTTATTTATCTGATATGCAGGTTTCCTCACGATGTTTTCCTTCACCGCCGAGCACGTAGTAAATTAGCACTTAAAATTGCAATTAACTATTTCATTGGTGCCGGCGGAGATCGAACCCGGTTTGCTCGCGTACTGTGAAATTTACAGCGAGCGCTAACCATCTGAGCTACCACGGCTCACTTGTAATATACTCGTAGATTTAAATAATCTATTTCCGAAGACAGAACTATTTATTCTTTCTCCTGATTTTGTATCGTATATATACAAATCGAGTGAAATAAGCCCATTGTTTCCTAATATGCAGTACTAATAAGAAGTACCTTCCAGTAAAGTGCAAATTAACAAATTCTTTGAACAGTACACTACATTAGATGAGGTTAATAAGATTATTTATACGTTATAAGGGCTACTTTGTGAATAATATTTAGTTATATTCATATGAGCCGTGAATTTTGTGTTTTATTTTGGGGTACTATAAAAACAAAAAATATCATTAGCCCAGAAATCAATAGATCTATTTTTACAACTGAAAAAATTTCACTCTGAAGTTGTTGAATGAATACAATCAAGAATAAGGGTGACAGACGAGCATAAAGTCAACTGGGTGGTAAGATTATGCTATCGACGTCTACATCTATCCTCTACTAAGATTTAATAAATATGGTAATATTTGCAGATGCGTTTTCACACCTGAGGACTGTGATAAAATGTCTTGTTTCCAGTAAAAATGATCTACGGTTCTTTACACTCATTACACGAAACAAACACAAACGCATCTTAAGTTCTTTTGTAATCACCGTATACACTGACAGTAAAGTGTTGCGCTTCATCAACTTTCAGCGTAAGATTGGGACCGGTGCAAAGTCCAGAAATTCTTTTCATTGTAAAATTTTCATCCGATTGTACAACTACACATTCCATTTTATCTAACGATAACCCGACCTGAAACCGAGGAAATTATTAGAAAATACCTTACTTTAGGTACTGATCGGTGATCATACTGATTTAAGATACATTCCTTGTAAAAACTGACAATTCAAACAAACAATTTATAGTACACCTGATGATAAGGGATTACGAATCCAAGGACACCAGCAGCCAACTCCATATAAAGAAAGCTAATAGATGCGTTGTCACCCTTGAGGACTAAGATGGAATACCTCTTAGCCTGTATTTATACAGGCTCTATACCCTTCAGACATAGAATGCAAGCACTGATATACTGCTGCACTGATATATTACCCAGAAGGACTCCATTAGAAAGAAAAGGAGTTCTACAACTAAACTTACTATTTTTAAAATCTAATTTAGTATATTTAACAACGAAATTTACTATTATTAAAAAAGGTGACATAACTACGAATTAATGAATTTCAGAATTTTTCCTTTCAATCCTGCTGTGAGACCTTGCTTTCTTCCAAATTTAATAATTTACTGACTTTTATAACGTATGGTCATCATAATCATCATCATTACAGCCCTTCACAAGTCCACTGCTGAACATAGGCCTTCCCCAAGTAATGCCACAAAGCACGGTCCTGAGCCACCTGCATCCATCGACTTCCTACATATCTTACCAGGTCGTCACTTCATCTAGTGGGGGGTCGCCCTACACTACGCCTACCGGTACAAGGCTGCTACTCGAGAACCTTTCTTCCCCATCGATTATCGGTTGTTCCAGCTATATGGCCGGCCTATTGCCACTTCAGCTTACTAATTCGTTGGGCTATGTCGGTCACCCTGGTTTTACTGCGGATATCCTCATTTCTGAGTCTATCACGCAGAGCAACTCCGAGCATAGCCCTTTCCATAGCTCTCTGAGCGACCTTGAGCGTCCTCATACGGCCAGCAGTGAAGAACCACGTCTCAGATCCGTAAGTCATCACTGGCAACACGCACTGCTTGTACAATCTAGTTTTCAGAGAAGATGTGTCGTAATTTCCCGAACGCTGTCTAGCCGAGTAGAATCCGTCGATTCACCTCTCGGTCGAAGTTGTACTTACCTAGTCGGACTATTTGTCCCAGGTAAACGTACTCGTCAACAACTTCGAGCATAATGCTCCCAACAACTATACATAACGTATGGTGGGTGTTGGGAAACCTATCAAAAATTACCTTTTACTGCCTCATAGAGGGGACTTGTCATAGTCGCCATGCCAAGCAGGCGTAGTTGTTATGCTAGCGCCCAACTCTTGTTTCAGAGTCCCTCTGATGCCTATTAAGACACACATGGGACGATATGGGTCAGAGAATAATTATACACCTTATTTTAGTAGTGGACTTTTAGTATAGATTAGATAGGCTGTAATTAATAAAAACTCCGTCGACTGTTAAGAAGATACACTCAACTAAAATCGCCAAATGTATGTTCCAATGAATGACAATATTTGCAGAAACCTTATAAATATATAAATAGATTACAAAATCACCTGAATTTCAAAGGAGCTATCATACCCATCCTCGGTGTAGACATCGTAGACTTCTTGATATGTTAATTCTCTTTCAGTGATGTTATCACAATTTCCGCATCCCCAAATTCCGTCAAAAAATTTAAGTTCGTTACCTGTAAGTAGGGTTTTTCTTATTATTTTGTAATTAGTCTCAGATTTAAACTATAGCTGTTTCTATAAAAAGACCCGTGAAATACATGCGAACTAAAATTTTAAACATGGAATTTGACAGAAAATGTCAAATTTCGCTAAGACTAAAGCAAGTGGCACCGCGACTAAGGTACTTCTTCCGTGACTAATGTCAGATTCCTATATTTAGGAAACGTTTCCTTATTAGTGACGATCCATTTCATTACATACGATGTGCATGAATAAACAGTTTACCTTTGGTTGACGTAAAATGAAACATTAGGTACTTTAAATGGTTCATAAATAGTTAAACTGGCAAACTCCATGTTAGAGAAAAGACTGTGCCTTATATATTCTGATTTTTATTTCATTTAAACTTTTTAGCATAACTGTTATTATTGTAATAAAAATTTAATGAATAAAGAAATGTGATGTAGAATTACATTAAATAACTGTAAACTGCGACGCAATTTAAAATTCGATTCGATGGTGGCCAGCCCATCACATTGTTTTAAGAATTTGCAGCCATGCACGACCATATTGTGAAATTTATTTTAATATGGTAGGAAGCAGTTTTATCTACATGACACTCGACTTGAAAACCTTATAAAAGGGTGGATATATTGCACGTACGTTTCAAGTATTCAGTTTCAGTTTCAAATTTCAATTCCTGATGTGTTGCAGAAGCTCAAGTGGCAGTGTTGTTTGCTTACTATCCAGTGAGCCGCACGCTCGCTTGCCCCCCTTTTTAAAAAAGGTTCCCTTGGTTACACATACTACATACAGCATTATATATATATATATATATATATATATATATATAATTTTTTTATATCTAATTAATCGTTAAATTTACATTGAATCGAATATAAGGTGAATACGAAATATTTATTAATTGAAAAGGAATACTTAAGTATTTATATCATAGTAGAAGATTGTACAAAACATAAAATAGCAAATGTTATTGAAATATTTCAAATATATAGGTACTCAAGTTTTACCGGTGATTACCGGATGCGTGCATGAGTGCAAGTGTGCGTGCGTGAGTGTGTGCGCGCGTTCGTGCATGTGTGTGCGCGCGTGTGTACGTGTGTGCGTGTGTGTGTGTGTGTGTGTGTGTGTGTGTGTGTGTGTGTGTGTGTGTGTGTGTGTGTGTGTTTGTGTGTGTGTATGAGTGTGCCTGTGTGTGTGTTTTTTTGATCCTAAGTTTAGATTTTTGAATCCTAAAATTTACAAACAACCGTATAAAAGGAGCATACGAAACATTTATTCATTGCAAAGGAATTGAAATATTTCAAATATATACTCAACTTTGTTAACGATGATTATTATCAGTTACCGGTAAATTACTAAACAAGACATATCTAGCTCTGATACCGTTATATACTAGTTTGCTTAAACGCACAGACTAATATAACGCTCTGCATCTTAAACGTGTTCAAAAATATTTTATTTAAAGTAAGGAAAATATGTATAATACTTACTCTAATAGTATTTGCTATTACTTTACGCGCTATTGAAAAATAAATGTGTTTTAAATTTTAAGCGATTTCCATTTGATCAAACATCAATCAAAGGTCTAAAAAAGCGCAAATTCGCTCAGCTATTCCTTAAAATAAAGTCTGTTAAGATTCGTTGTGAATCCGTTGTTATTGCCTTGAAATAAAGTTTAATTTTATGTTGTATTAAAAATGCCTTTTTAACATTTGTTTATTGAAATTTGTTTGACCAATAAGCGAATTGGGTGTTTCTAGTAGCGATAATACGACGTAACCACTTAATGAGTGCTCCCGACGACGCCGGTTCCCGAACGAAATAAGGTTGACAGGTTATATTGTATATTATAGTATTCTATGGTCATGAACTGCTTTTAAAAAAACCTTTTAGGCTTACTTAGATTCATTCTTAGCTTTACTGGCATTGTTTATAAAACGTATGTTTAGTATTTAAATATATAATAATTCTATCTTATGAACGCATATGTAATAAAATATTTATGAATTTCAAGAAATAGTTGCTTATGATAGATCAATTAAAACCACTTACCATTTTTAAGTTCCTCATCTTCTGTGTCATTAAATTCTGATATTTCGGTGTAGTTGCCAAATAACAGAGAATGTATGATAGGGTCAAAATAATCATCGGGCACAAATCTACTAGACGTTTTCATGATTATAAATAAATTGAGAAAAAGAAGAAACTTCATCACGTTGAATCAAATCAAATATATGTCCAAATATTTCAACAAAATACAAAAAATCCCCCTTAAATATTTCAGATTTCCATTGATACGTTTTAGAAATATTTGATCACCTTCTGAAGTTATTTATTTCTGCAATAGTCATGTGTGCTTCACATTTTAGTTACATTTAACTTTATCGTGGTCTGGAGACAAATTATCGACACGAATATATCATTGACCTCTGCACTGATAATTGTGTACAATATAGTATACAAACGATATTTATAAGTGACGGTACGGATACCGTCCAGAAAACAATATGGCGTTTTGTGTAAGTGGAATAGAAGCTATCCTCAATAGTATTTGTAAAATGTAACTGATACGTAAAATTTCCAAAATCGAAAAAAATACAATTCATCCTATGGATTTGCGTAAAACTAAAAGCAGGTAATGTTATTTTAAACGGCGTAGGCTACGATCGCTAGTGAATTAAAGTTGTAAGTGCGAGCGAGACGCGTGCACATTTATTTCGTTACGCATTCGTCGTCGTTTTGTAGCTACCAGGCGGCCGAGTGGTGGCTGCTGACACAGATCATTGCAGACAAAACTTAAAATTTTACCATTGTTTAAATCATAGATTCGGTGTACGTGGACAGCGACACGGGACTTGAGGCGGTGTCGGCAGCGGAAGTATTTGCGGCGCGGGGCGTGTTCCGTCCAAGATGTGTCACACGCAACCTTGTCCCGTTACATAACCGAGGAGTTTCTAAATTTCGCATTAGCATGACTGGGACGCCTAATTTTAATTGAAGCTTATGTAAGGGCAAACCTGACAACTCTAGAGAATTTAGAAAGTCTACGGGATATGAAGTGCTCTGTTCTGTGTCCATAACTGTTTCTACTGACAAATACTGTTTTATTTCTCCTGCCACTTCGCTTAATATATCTGAATTTATTTTGTTAACGCTCTCATTTTTTGGTGCAAGAATCGCTCTTTCACATAACGATTTGTCTTCATGCATGTTGTTCGTTAAATCTGAATAAACGCTCACAATTAATTCGGAATGACTCTGTACTAAATTACAAAAATCTCTCGTCAATTTAACGCAGCCCTCAGCATCCGTTTCCAACCGCCCATCGCCAATTTTTAATAGTATGTCAGCATAGTTTCCAGGATTGATATCATTATACAGATGCACTCTCATATTCGTAGTTAAACTGAATTTTGTCACCTTGTTCCATAAAATAGACGACTTGATGCATGCTTTAATTTCATATGCAGGAGTGCTCTTTTGAATGACTGGTAAAGTTTAGCGAAAGTCACCAGCCAGTAAAACCAACATTCCTCCAATTACATCGGTATTACTGTGCAAATCCTGGAGCGTTCGATTTAGTGCTTCTACAGCTTTTTTATGCGACATTGTACTTTCGTCCCACACTAAAAGTTTGCATTGTCGTAGCATTATACCTCGTGCACTATTTTTGCTGAAGTTGCAGATCGGCGATTCTTCCTGGGCTAGATTTAGAGGGAGTTTAAAAACAGAATGTGCTGTGCGGCCCCCGCTTAGCAGCGTGGCGGCTATACCGAAAGAAGCTACGGCCACAGCAATGTTTTTATCTTTCCGTATTTGCGCTAATAATAAATTTAACAAAAATGTCTTCCCAGTTCCTCCAGGGGCATTTAAAAAGAAAAGTGCACCATTTCCAGATTCAATTTGTCCTAATACTTTGTCAAAAACTCGTTTTGTTTGGGAAGCAAGCGGGGTACAAATTCAGCTACTTGCTGCTGCAAAGCTAGTTCATTTTCGGTTGTTCGCTGAGGGCTTATCATTTCAAAGTCACTTAATTTTTTGCCTACCATTGCCATTACTTTATCTTCAATTTTTCCAAGTGCTTCATTATAAATGTATTCATTGTATGTCATGTTCGCATGTGTTTGCTGTAACCTTCGCAAAATATCTTCCGCCATGTACTCTTTATATTTGTGCATTAGATAGCCCGCCAGATGATATGAGAGTTGCATAAAGATCTCTAATTTTGGCTGGTGACTGGCACTGCACGGCTTCCTCCATGGTTTCATCCCAGTAGTTATCGTTTTCTAAAAGATGCAGAGCTTCACATGCTTTTCTATAAGTTTCGCATTCCTGACCGTTGACAATTTTAAAGTCTTTATATCCTGTAGGAACCCGAACATGGTGCAGCAGCAATCGTAAACAGAAACATTCACAATTAGTTACATGGACGGTATACACACGACCAAGGGCATCTGATGACTTTACACCGGGCCAATTTGCAACAGGCGCGCCTTACGAATACGGCGTTTCCACTCCGTCCTAGATGTGTTCCAAGTATAATAGCGGGAGACTTCAAAATATAACAACGTTTTTGCGAAGGGGTCGGTTTGACAAAGTTGAAAGAAGGCTGTTAGTGTAGTTTTGGCGGTGATGCAATTCTTTCTTGGAAATTTCTTTCGGTGAAATATACACGCTCTCCATTTTCTAGGCGCATAGCAAGGTGAGTAACTGTTGGGTGCCTTTCGTGTAAAGGGAAGCCAAGGAGACGCCACGCTGCCTCGTTACTGCTGACATAACGCCCTGCTTGAAAGGTCTGTACTTCATTAACTGAATTTGCCTCACCTTCACTCTTGAGATTAAATATTGCTTGGTCGCTTCCTTTATTTATGTACTTACATATATTATACTTAAATGCGCGGACAGAGCTACATGCTTCTAATTAATGTGGGCATTAAACATTTTACATAGAATGGGCGAATACGGGTCAATCCAGCTTTTATCTAAGGTTTCGAACGCTCCAGAACGAGATTTGATTGTAAATTTCCTACCACCATCTTCGGGAGCTCTAGTCTGTATAAAGGGTAGCCATTGTCATTGTGCACTGTTTCTTTTAATTGCTGTTTAGGGAATTTCTTGGATATTTTCCTTCTTTCACACATGGCGATATTGAATTTCGATGGTATCATACAATTCTTTATCTTGCTCAGGATCCGGAATCTAGGCTCTTATTACGTCGTCTATTTGGCTGGGACGCAACTTCTCTTTAAGCCATATTAGAATGTGGGCTTGCGGTAATCCTCTTTTTTTCCATTCAATTGAATACATGAAGCACTGCACCTCTCCGAAAATTTTCTCTTTGTTAATTACGTACATTAATTTTTGTACTTTTAATCTAAATACTCTAGCAACTAAATCGGGTCTGTCAGTACTTTTTTGGCCCGGCATTAGCTCCTCGGTTATTTCTTTCCATGTGGGATTGCAGGTAAAAGTAACAAAAAAATTAGGTCTTCCGTAAGTTCGTCCATAGGCGAATGTGTCTTGTGTGTACTCATGTAGGTAGCGGGGACTGTTAACGAATGGTGAGGGCAGAATTACCATTTTACCTAAATCTCTGGGGTTAAGATGGGGGCGTCGCTAGAAACTGCATCTTGTAAATGTATATAATTCTCAACGAGCAGCTTTTTTTGTTTTCGAGATATATAACGGAGACGTTCACTTTCTACCTTCACATACATGTCTACCAAAAATTGATGAAATAATGGTCTACATCGGGCTAAGAGGTTAAAATCATTTTCTCGCAACATCATATGATACGCATAAAAATCCATACATGATACATTTTTGTTCGGAGTAGGCTTAGTGACCGGGTTAATGAGTAGAATTTGAAAATGATAACCCTCTTGTCCTTTGCAATAAATCAATGGGTATTGCAGAGCGTCATAAAACTTGTGTGTATCGGCTACCTGTTGCAACGTATCATCACGTGCTCGCAAGACAATGTCTCGTGAAGAAAATTGATCACCACTAATTACGGCTGCTATTTCGTTTATCAAAGGTGCATTGTAGCGTCTTTCATACTCTCCTCGAGGGGTCCAATCTGCGTGAATGACGACTTTATAATCCTCTTCAGGTAGGTTTTCTAAAGCAGTTTTAAATGTTTTGACTAAAATGTTACGTTCATGCAAGAATCTTTGAATTTTGAACACTGTGTCTCTCTCAACTCCCTGGATAAATTGGCAGAGACGGTCTACCTCAATTTCTTCGTCACCCATAAAATATACTTGAAAAAATTTATGCTGTTTGTTTTCAGCTGGAAAAAGTGAACCTATTCTATGATAAATTTGCCCTTGCATCGTAAATGTAGGCAAAAAACCCCGGCATTATTATTTCCCGGTCAACTCCGAAGGACGTCATTTGAAAGCATGAGTTATATTTCCGGATCCTGTTTAAAAAGCGCCGTGACTCATTAGCATCATATAAAAAGAGAGTTTTCAAAGGTTCTTCTGGTTCCCCAAGTAACGGAAGAGACACTTTGCCATTGGAAAAGCACATGCCTGTCTTCAACAATCTTTCCATTTTAAAGCGCTCCAAAATCGACACGCCTTGTCCATTAGTCCGATAACAACTAACCTGTGATTTTTATAATCAATCAACGGATCATAATTAAATGCTGCGTCATTAAAAACCGACCAATTGTTTCTTTGAAAATTTTGTCGACGTTCAGCTTGGAGCTGTGCATTTGCATCTCTTTGCGCCTGTATCTGTTCTGGTGTTTCAGTTGGCCTTATAGTAGATTGACGTTCAGCTTGCTCAAAAGTCTGTCTGTTCAAAACGCCTTTGCCGACTTTGAGCAGGTGTTTCAGTAGCTCTTAAAGTAGCTTGACGCTCTGCCTGTTCAAGACGCCTTCGCTGACTTTAAGAAGGTGTTTCAGAAGCTCTTAAAGTAGCATGACGCTCTGCCTGTTCAAGACTCCTTTGATGACGTTAATAAGGTGTTTCAGAAGCTCTTAAAGTAGCTTGACGCTCTGCCTGTTCAAGATGTCTCAGATGCTCTAAAAGCAGCCTGCTTGTTCTTGCCTTCTCAGTTCAGCATCTTCTGAAGATTCTAGCGATCGAGCTAATCTTTTCACCTGCCTTTGAGAAGATACTCTTGAAAGGCTGGACTTACGTTTGCGAGGCATTATGAAGTAACAA